TGGAACTGTTGACCTACAGGGAGTGACTATATAGTTTCAGTAGACAACGCTAAATGATGTTTTCCAATTTAAATAGTTGTATCACCCATATAAACTGGATGTATTCATATTACCAAACCTGGTAATATTTTTGGCTAAAAGTCTATTTTGTCTAATACTAATATGCTATATCAGCTTTCTATTGGTTAGTATTTGCATGCTTCATCTTCTCTCCTATCTGTTTGTTTTCAACATTCCTGAAGCACCTATTACAAATCAATCTTTTTTTTTTTTTTTTTGGCAGAACCAGGGATTGAACTCAGGCCCTTGTGCTTGCCAAGGAAGCACTTATTCCACTGAGCCATCTCCTCGGCCCCACAAATCAATCTTTTTAATAAAAACAGCAAATAGTTTTTGGGTTTCTAAATTCTATCTGCCAAGCTGTTTTTTTAATTAGAGCATTTAGTTTACTTAATTAAATGAAAAAAACTAATAAAGTCAGTCTTGGACCTACCATTTTGTTGTGTGCTTCTTCTCTCTGCTGTTATAGGTGGCTAAGTTTGATAGACATTAATATACAGCTAGAGAGGGGCTGCGTTCTCAAGGAAGTCAACAGACAGAATAAAGACACCAGAAGTGTGGCTGGAGGTGCATCTAAAGGCCAGTCCTCAGGATGAAGTCGGCCAAGCCTACACGCCTCCCTAAGGAGAGGCAGTCACCTGGAAGTGTAACTGGTATCTCCTGGTGCAGTGTAGTCACCTACACAGGTGACCAGAGCATCCACACCCAAAGTGCCTTTGTTCTTTCCATGTGCGCTTGCTATGTGACCCACTTCCCTACTTGACTGATACTAGCTAAGTGGCTACACTTAGAACCCTATAGGTTGACTGTAGTTTAACCCACGTTGTTTGTATAAACCATCCCTGAAAAACAGCCTCAGTGGCAACCTACTTCTGGGCTCCCTTCTGTCTCTCAGGAGCTATTTCTATTCCCCAATAACCTTTTCCACTCTTCATGTCCTTTGTCCTTTCAAAATCATTCTTCTAGGACTGGCCAGACAGCTCAGTGGATTAAAGTGCCTGCCTAGACAGATACGGGGACCAGGTTTGATCTCTGGCCTGCTGTGCTGGCCCCGCCCCCAGGGGCGCAGTTGAGACTGCAACTGAGATTGGGCATGCCTGTAATCCCAGCACTTGGCAAGCTGAAAACAGGAAGATCACTACAAGTCTGATCTGTGTAGTGAGACCCTATAGACACTGTACTTAAAAAAAAAAAATCATTCTTCGACTTCAGGGGACAGAAACTCAGCCTATTTGACAGCTAGCAGGTTGAGTTATATTTTGCCTTGTATCACTGCTTGTTCTGCTTCTTTCTTTTTTGGGGTTGGGGATAAACCCATGGCCTTGTGCATACCAGGCAAGTGCTCTATCACTAAGCTATACCCCTAGCCTTTATTGTTTTAACTTTAACTTTTCTTTTTTTTTTTTTAATTAATTAACTTATTTATTTTGTGTGTGTGTGGCCAGCTCAGCCCACCAGGGGGCGGGGCTGGCTGGCATGTGGTGCTGGGGGATTGAACCGTGGTCCCTGTGCTTTAGCTTAAGCTTAGCTTGTTCTAAGTGGGTGCTTTAGACCACTGAGCCATCTCACCAGCCCTTTTTTTTTTTTAAATAAACATTAATTTATTCATTATTTTGGAATGAAAGAAGTCCTTTTATTTATTTATTTTTTTGCGGAAGCGGGGATTAAACTCAGGCCCTTGTTCTTGCCAGGCAAGTGCTTTTCCTGCTGAGCCATCTCCCCGGCCCCTTTAACTTTTCTATTATGTTTTCTTCTTGTTAATTAAAAAAAAATCTACTTTTTTCCTCTACTACTTTGGAAATTACATATTTTAACGTACAGTTAATCAGTGCCTCTGTCTTCTTTCCAAGACTGGCACAGGTACACACCTTACCACCACTTACTTTCAAGATGGCTTCCTAGTCATGCCTTTTTTTTTTTTTAAATTTTATTTGTTTGTGTGTGTGTGTGTGTCCAGCTCAGCCCACCAGGGGGCGGGGCTGGCTGGCATGTGGTACTGGGGGATTGAACCACGGTCCCTGTGCTTTGCTAAGCTTGCTCTAAGTAGGTGCTTTAGACCACTGAGCCATCTCACCAGCCCCTAGTCATGTGTCTTGGGAGGGTTCACCCTGCAACTGACTGTCCAGCATTACCGCCTGTATTATTTTGATTCTATGATCTAGTGATTCTGAACTGTGGCTGTGTATCACAGTCACCTTAGGGATGACTGAAAGACACAAATAACTGTGACTTTTTTTTTTTTTTTTTTTGCGGGACCGGGAATTGAACTCAGGCCCTTGCACTTGCCTGAGAAGTGCTTATTCTACTGAGCCATCTCCCCAGCCCCAACTGTGACTCTTGGTTCAGCAGCCAAGCACAGGAGTGGCCTTGCAATCTCAGCTTTGGGACGTTTTCTCAGAGGCTTCGCATGCCTGCCAAGGTGAAAGCCAGAGCCACCATCCGTGTCCTGGAGCAGGGTGTGGCTCCTTTAATCTGACTGGAGGAGCTGAGAAGGAGCTGTAGGTGGGGGTGTGTACTGAGAAAGGCAGGTGAGAGGAGCTCAGGCAGAGCACAGAGATCACCAGATCTGCCCTGGAAAACTGCAGTCAGCTCTGCAGAATCAGGAGGGTATGGGGAAAGGCTCGGGTGCTGAGGGAAAGGCGCTGCATACCAGTGGCATGCTATTAGTTGTTTCCTAACCAGTTATGTGGTTTTCCGTTGCCTGAAAAGTTCTCACCGGGCAGATGTCCTTTTTAACCTGCTTTCCTGTGGTTTACAGTCTATTAGCTTGCTTCTATCTTCAACAGCACCACTCCTTACTTTTATAAGACTCTATTAACTTGAGCAGGGTGATCACTGTCCAACTTATAGAATTAATATTCGGAGAAGTAATAATGTGTAGCACACACCTGTGGTTCCTCTGTAGCTTTGGACCCTTGTGCAAAAGTAAACAGGTGGGGGCTTTGAGTTATTGGAGCCGAATCAGAGTGGAAAGGTTTGCAGCAAAGTCTGAGACACCCACACTCGAGAAACCCCAAGTCTTGCTTCTGCTTCACGCTGGTCATGCCCAGGTGGCTCCAGCTCTTCTGCTTCTGTCTGCTAGCTCAGATAGCCTGACCTGGATCGGGAAGCTCTTATAGCCACTTACATATTTTTATTTTAAAATATACTGGTTGGCTTACAGGGTCACTCAAATAATGATAAAGCTTAATTCACAATAAGAATCCCCAGGGCTGGCAAGATAGCTCGGCCACCTAAGCACCTGCTTAGGTAAGCACTGGGACTGGGGTTCGATCCCCAGCACCACGTGCTGCGCTGGCCCTGCCCCTAGGCGCAACTGAGCTGACCACCGAGACTGGGCATGGCAGTGCATGTCTGTAATCTCAGTGCTGGGGAGACTGAGACAGGAGGATCACCATTGAGTTTGAGCTGCATAGTGAGACCCTGTACCAAACACATAAATTAAAAAAGAAACAGGAATCTCCAAATAAATCCTCATTTGTCTTTTTTAAAATTTATTTTATTTATTTATTTTTGTGTGTGTGTGTGGCCAGCTCAGCCCACCAGGGGGCGGGGCTGGCTGGCATGTGGTGCTGGGGGATTGAACTGCGGTCCCTGTGCTTTGCTAAGCTTGCTCTAAGTAGGTGCTTTAGACCACTGAGCCATCTCACCAGCCCCTTCATTTGTCTTTAGTATAACTTTAGGTTAGAAACATCCTGAATAGTTCATACTTAATGCAGGCCTTTATGTGAGAGGTGCTCTGAAAATGTTTTACGTACATTATATATATGTATTATGCCTGTCATTTCATGAGCTCTCACAACTATGTGGTGAAGGTGGTAACATATCCAGTTTTACTGGTGAAAGCCCTGAGCGGCAGATGTGCCTCCTGTGCCGGTGAGTGGCAGTGCTCACGGGCACCCGGGGCTACCTGAGGGGCTGCTCCACAGTTTCTTTCATTGTTAGGGGTGGGGAATGTTGACCTGTTCTTTCTGCACTATTTCTTAGCTTCTCCTTAGGTCCCAAGGAACTCAACCACATTGAGTGGATGGATGACAAGGAATGGATCCCATTCATAACTGGATACATTTTCTTTGTATTCCGAAGTAAAGAGGAAGGGGTAAAAAGCTCCATATTAGGCCACAATGCCCTCCTCAAACCATATGCTAATGTGACAACATCTAGGCACTCTGATGGCTCTACCTTTGGAGCATTTGAACTATTTTGACTTTTCAGGATACCAAATGATTCCTATCAGGCCAATGTGGCCACAGTGAGCCACATGTGACCACACACATAAACCAAGTGACTTACGACTTACAGGAATTCAGCCTGGAGTGTTGACTGGCTGAGAGCAGTTTGCTCCCACGCGCCCTGCCCTTTGCTCCCAGTGATAGTAACTACTCCCTGCTCACAAACCAAAGTTCGCATGAGCCTTTTTGTTTCATCAGGAAAGCTTCCTACTTGGATTTTTTTTCTTTATGTATTTTTATGGAAGGGTCTACAGGGAGTTCAGGGTCTCACTACTAGATCAGACTCGTAGTGATCCACCTGTTTACTGCCTCCCAAGAGCTGGGATTACAGGCACGTGCCCCCACCCCCAGTCTCAAAACCTTGTTTTATTTTTTTTGTGGTACCAGGGATTGAACTCAGGACTTTGTGCTTGCCAGGCAAGCACTTATTCCACTAAGCTATCTCCCCAGCCCCTTCCTACTTCTTTAAACCTAGTAATTTGTTTGTTCTTTTGTTTTTGTCTTTTTGAGACAGAGCTTGCCATGCAGTTCAGGCTGGCCTTGAGCTCATTTGTAGCCCAGGTTGGTCTTGAACTTGCAACCATCCTCCAGCCTCAGCCTTCTGAGTGCTGGGATTATAGGCATGAGCCACCACGCCCAGCTAGCAATTTGTAACGAATCACTTCGGAGTTGTGAGGTAGTCAAAGGAGGAGAACCTATTACTCTTACCCTTCTTTTCCTCGATTATGGATAGCTAGTTCTTCACCAATCCCTTCTTCCTCCTTGAAGCTCTCCCAGTCCAATTTGGACTTCTCAAGCGTGCTCATTTTCTGCTTTTTGGCTCCAATTTTCCCCAAAAGGCTGCTCATACCACTTGACCTCTTCAACCTAAAGAAAGAGAAAACATGAAATATGTAGCATACAAAAACTCTGTTCTCTTAACAGTTTTTTTCTGATGAACACAGAATTCCATGGATAGAAGCCATTTACCTTAATGAAAGTCATGTTTGTACCTAGCATGCTTCTTTCTCAGTGTGGAGAACAATGTAAGCAGAGTAGAATTTCTACTTTTTTCTGGTGCTAGGGATCATATTCACGGCCTAGGCAAGCACTTGGCCATTGAATTGTATCCTGAGCTCCCTTTCTCTTTTTTAAAAATTTAGGGGGCCAGAGAGATGGCTCAGTAGAATAAGCTCTTGCCTGGCAAGTGCAGGGTCCTGAGTTCAATCCCTGGTACTAAAAAAAAAAAAAAAAAAAAAAAAGTTTAGGATAGGCTCTACATTGCCCATGCTGGCATCAAACCTGATATTCGCCTTTCTTAGCCTCCCAAGAAGCTGAGATTACAGGTGCGCACCACTGTGCCTGGCTAGAAGCACAGAATTCTAATTTACTTTTCCAGCCTGATGTCTCTGCTCTGCTGCACTGCTGACAGAAACACTATTCCTTTCTGATCTGAGTGCTGTGAGGCAGGTCTCTACTTGCGGGGAAGGTGAGTGGACAGCTCAGGCAAGGCTTTGGAGTCATATGACCACGTGCAAATTCCAGCTCTGCCTGAGTGACTGGAGGCAGTGCATGCACCTTGGTTTCCCAATCCAATCTACACAGTGAAATGTTTGCTCATAGGCTGTGACCTATCTTTTATGCAAAAGGCTAAAACAACACCCAGCACAGGGTCAAGGTGTCGTAAGTGCTAGCAACTCTGAGTCACTGTCATCGTGCTCTTAAGCTCCAGGGGGTTCTTTCAGAGCAAGAATCTGTTCCCAGCACCGATGAGCAAGTCAGAGGACCATAAAAGGGCTCTAAAATCAGGTGCCTTTCACCCCTGTGTGTCGGGGCCTGTTTTTTCCCAGGAGGTGGAGAACATTCCTCACCCCGAAAGCAGGGCATGTACAACCCGCGCTTTACTTGCTGCTGATGCTATCACAGGCTGCAGTAGAAACCCCAGATGCCCACGCTCAAGTGCTGGCAGGTCAAAAATGTTTCCAGTCATATTACATGTATAATTTAAGATAAGAAAAAGAGAAGGCCACTAGCTCATAAGAAAGTAGTATGAGTGGAAGGAACAATGGAAGGAACAAGTTTTTATTCTTTTTATGAAAGTAAAACAAGTTATCAGTTGTAGGAAATTGGAAGTTATTTTCACCTCAAGGAAATATGCAAAGGAGTTAAAACACTTAAAGACCATGAGCTGGGGCCAGGGAGAGAGCTCAGCGGCATGAGCACCTGCCCCACAATAACAAAATCCTGAGTTTGATCCCTGGTACCCACCACCCACAAAAGACCATGAGCTGACATCACAATGCTGGTTCTCTGGGTGCTTCCATAACCACTTTTTCACTGGACTCTCACTACAGCCTGGGACAAAGGACCACAGGGTCTGAGCTGGAATGGGATCACTTTCAAGATGACCTAGTCACTAGCAAAAACCTGACTTGTGCCCTGCAGGGAGCCAGTGGACCAGTGTCCACACTAAACACAAGACTCTAGAGGCCAAACAACTGCCCTAAACATTCTCATCCTATTAACACTGATCCTGAGATTAGCTCCCTGTCAAGGTCACATACCCAACTATATGCTGAAATGAAGACCAACTGAGATTAGACCAGACAGTCACCATCATCTCCCTACTGAGCTAGACAAATAAACAAAAGTTCAGGACAGCTAAACAATACAACAAAGCTCAAACCAATAGAAAATGCAGATCCAGGACAAAAGGAGGATTCTCCGACTGTCAGTGAAGTGCATCTCAGGATGAGAAGTTGTCTAAGAGATCTTTACAGTTAGTTCACATTTCCTAATATGATTCCAAATTGCTCTTTAAGAGCTTCCATTTCACATCTTGTGGACATTCCCTTCTAGATAATCCACTGCCTACAACAATCAATCAATCAACACACACACAAATTTTTCATGAGGAAAGCATGAGTGGGGACATGGAAATTTAATATGCTTAAAATCTTTCACTTTCCGTCTTCCTCATTACTACAGTTCTGGTACTCATTGTATCTTTCGGTAATTCAACAGCCTCCTCACTCACTGGTCTCCCTCACTTAGCCTTTCCCTAAACAGCCATACCCTGGCATCTATCGATGTGCTATCTTTCGAATAAACTTTTGCTTAAGTGTCTCATCGATGTCCCCTTACTACTTTTTGCTCTTACAATAAAACCTGAAGTTCTTACTTAAGTTCTTCCAGTCACTGGCCAGCTACCCTTGTCATCTGTGCACCACAGCCCTGAACCTGCTGTTCACCTCAACTTGCCTTTTATTTATCCAGTCTTACCTCAGCTTAAAAAAGTTCTCCAGAATGCCCTCCTGACTCCTCTGATCGAGGGACTAGGTACCCGGTGCGGTTGCTATTGCACCCTGGTTCTTCTTATGATGCTGCTATCTCTCTGCAGTGGATGCTTGGGGGTTCTCATTCAGCTGCAGCTGTCCCAGACAGTTCTAAGAAAGCTCGACTCACCTGTTCACAATATCCCACCAATAAGGACTCAGTGCAGGCAGACCTTTTCTGATGGCAGGGCTTTTTCTGAATACATGCAGGCTACTGAGCACTGTCTGGAGAAGCGGGAGAATCTATGCCATGGGGTCAGGGAGATGGCTCAATGGAATAAGCACTTCCCTAGCAAGTACAAGGGTCTGAGTTCAATTCCCGGTTCCGCCAAAAAAAAAAAAAAAAAAAAAAAAAAAAAAAAAAAAAAAAAAAAAAGAATCTATGCCTTTAGGGCTACTTCCATAGGCCTAACTGGCCTAGCCCTATCCTTGCTCAGGCAATTTTGGGAGTTGAGTAGTTCTCACAAGCTCTGGTGAAACAAAGCCCTCATGGCCTTGAAAATACATTTTTTAAATTGGGTGTTGTGGCACATGCCTATAATCCTGGCTTTCTGGGAGGCTAAGGCAAAAGGGATTGCAAATTCAAGCCCAGTTTGAGGAACTTGAAAAACAACCCTCAGCACACACATACACATACCCCAAAAGCTTTGTAAAACTGGTTGTGGTGGTACATGTCTTTAATCCCAGCACTTGGGAGGCTAAAACGAGAGATCAGTTTGAGGTCAGCCTGGGTTTACATAGTGTTTAAGAACAGCTTGGATCACATGGTGAGACTTTGTCTAAAAAATCAACTATAATGGTGGATAAAATGTGTCAACTTGAGAAGTTTAGTGACTACCTAAGTGACTCAGCAGGGGGCCAGAGTCCTTGCTTTGTAAACATCCTGAGTGTGGGCAAATAGAGGGCAGAGATATAGTGTGAGTATAAGGGACCCACCCTAGGGTGCTGAGCTAGCATACACAATAATGGAGGAAAAGCCCCCCCACCGCTCTTGTTTCTGCTATCTTCTGCCACCTTGAACTGCTGCTCTTATGCCAAGCCACCCTGCCTTGGAGCCAGCTGATTATGGACAACAACCTCTACAACTGTGAGCTAAGTAAACTCTTTCTCATCTTCCCCCTTTTCCCCCTCCCTTCTTTTTTAATGTATTCAGTACAGGGTCTCACAGCTTAGACTTGTAGTGATCCTCGTGTTTTCAGCCTCCCCAGCACTGGGATTACAGGTGTGTGCCACCACACCTGGTCTTGGTGGCCAGCCCAGTGCACCCAGGGGTGGGGCTGGCTCGGCTTATGGTAACATGGATGGAACCTCAACCTTTCCTCTTTTACTAAACTTTGGGTGTTAGATATTTTGTCTTAGTAAGGACAGAAAAGTAAAAATCTCAGGTCTCCCTTTTCCCCCAGAGCTAGGGGTGTTTTCCCACTGAGCTATATCCCTAACCCTTTTTATTTTGAGACAGGCTCAGACTGGGCTTGAACATTTTGGTTTTCCTGCCTCAGCTACCTGAGTAGCTGGGATTGTAGGCATGTGCTCTTCATGCCAGGTTTCTTGTATTAACTTTTCTTCTTTCCTTGCCTTTCTTTTCCCACATCTCACTCCTGCTTCTTAGGATACTTCCCAAATGAACTCACTGTACTCAAATCCCTAAATTTTGCTTTGAGGGAAACCTACGACATTTGGGAGAACAGCTACTTGCAATTCCAAACAGAGATGGGGGGGCCAGGGAGATAGCTCAGTAGAATAACCCCTTGCCTAGCAAGCACAAGGGCCTGAGTTCAATCCCTGGTTCCACAAAAACACAAAAACAAAAACCAAATAGAGATAGGGTCTCATTATGTAGCACAAGCTGGCCTTGAACTCATGGCCACCCTCCTGCCTTGGCTTCCTGACTGCTCAGGTTACAAGTGTACACACCACTATGCCCAAAATCAGATTGAGAAATTCTTTTTTTTTTTTTGTGGAACCGGGGATTGAACTCGGGCTCTTGTGCTTGCCAGGGAAGTGCTTATTCCACTGAGCCATCTCCCCGGTCCCCCAGATTGAGAAATCCTAAGAAAAATGAATTTCACCTTTATTCTCCTATGCACTCTCAACATCCAAGTCTCCCCATTTTGTGTGGGCAGCACACAGGTTATGTATCACAAGCTATGCCATATTTTGACAATTGTTTCTAGGCATCTATGAGAAGATAGTATTTTGCTGCACAGCAGCGAGGACATTTTCAGAAAAGGAAAAAAGTCAACAATTACTCTTACTGTGTTCAGCGCTAAGCATCAGCAGAATGTCACCTGTGCTACTGTGCTGTGGGGGAAAGTTTTGGGCTCTGCCTTCACAGGGCCAAAAACATGTATGGCATCATAACGTGATAGTCTCTAAGGCAAAGTAACCTGTCTTTAATTGAAGCTAAATCAAAGTGAATAATACATTGAGAGCAGCAGCCAAAACACACAGGAGGTCATCGTAACTGAGAGACAAACAGATCCTGCCTAGAATCTTCTATGTGGGGCTCCCTGCACACTCCTGGGTGTTCCCAATCATTCTCCCACTGTGACA